TTCTATTCAATACTAATTTAATTTTATATTCTACAGCTTTTTGAAATAACGGATTAAAAGTATAATGTGTTCCGAAGTAACAAGACATTCTTGATTCTTTATCCTTAGCATGTTTGAATTTGCTTTTTGCTGTCTAAGATTTTAATAAACTTTGAATAAGTTTATGAAAAAACTTCAAAACATGAATTTTTTATAGTCTAGCAATAAAAGGTGCTTTGAAAATAGTTACTTTGCATTTATAGGATATCTTTCTCTTAACCAGATTCACATTTGAACAATTCAAAAGCAGAATAAAAAAGCACAGTTTGATTGATGAACATAAATATTTGGTTAGTGCCATAATAAATGAGGAATGAGCCTTTTTTTCCTCTTCCTTCCAGTCCCCAAAGCTCCAGAGATAGATCCAGTAGAGTGTTTGGTGGCTGACAACTGTGTAACAGTAGCTTGGAGAATGCCAGAAGAAGATAATAAGATTGACCACTTTATACTGGAATATAGGAAGACCAATTTTGATGGACTTCCACGTGTAAAGGATGAGCGATGCTGGGAGATAACTGATAATATTAAGGGTACTGAATATACACTATCAGGTAAAATGACTGTATTTCAGGAATCATGTGCTCAGAAAATAAATGTAATTCTGAAAAATATTTTTAGTTATTTTAAAGGATAAAGTTACTAAGTTTCTTTAGCCAAGCTGACTTTTTAGATATTTGTTTTGAAAGTGAGTTTCTCTTAAAACATTAAGGAAACCTTTACCTTTGTTTTAATTACTTCTGGACATTTGCAACCTGGTGAAGCAGAATGTATGTAAAACAAATATGAAGGGAACAAATATATTCTGAAATGTTGTTTTCAGAATAACATTTGATTTTTACTTTGGTTTGGATAAAAAAGCTGTCAATTTTTTAGATGTACTCAGTATCCCATGTAAATACCCCAGTACCTCAGATACTGTAAATACTGTTGCTTTTACTGTTTTAAGATTATTTTCATGTTAATACTTAAAAGTAGAACTGTGACTTGATATTAGAAACTTGGGTGTTGGCCTTTTGAAAGCCTTTAAAAAGATGTCTCAGTATATAGGGGACTTTGGATAGTTGAAATAGCCAAGTATTGCCTGAGTTGTTCAATGCTTATTATGCATGAGTAGTAACATTAGGAGCTGCCATTATTGAGCAATTACTATTTGTCAGGAGCTGGGCTCAAGTGTGTTATATATAGGACATTTCATTTAATCAGTACAATATATCTCATTTAATCTTTATAATAATTATGAATTTGGTTTTATCATATTTTACAGATAGAAAACTGAGGCTCAGTCAAGTTGTTAAAGGTCCCATAGTTAGTAATTTTTGGACTGAGATTTTAATCTAGACCTAACTTGAAAGATTTTATTA